AATAAACTTATGTCTCGTACGCTTACATAGGTGTCGGCTTGTACCAGTTATGTAACGTAGAGCATGTGAGAAGAACATTCACAACACGCGCATGAACACCACCTAGACAACGAGAGAATATAAACACCACTTATTACACTACCTTCCCTCAATATGTGAAAGAAGTCATTCTGTGTGTGTTGCAGATGGGTTAACTTCATCCAAACATTCATAGCTATAAAAAATTAAAATCTAAAATGACACTGTTGTGCTGTAAAAAATGTTCAAACAAACAGGAATGTGTAATTGATATAAATGTACGATAAAATATCACAAAGCTGCTTTAATTAACATAAACATTTCTGGACAAAAAGCAGACATGGTTGTCCATTCTGAAGTCTGCCAGCGCTGGTCCAAGATCTCACATGCCAAAGTTAAGAAATATCTTAGTATGAGCTGCAGATTTGACAGACACAAACGACACAGCATGCTCGCTTATGCACAAAGCTATGTGTTTTTTTTCTTTTTAAATAAATGCACAATAATTAATTTTTTTTAAATTTAATTTGATTTATAAACTTTTGCATTCTGCATAAACTGTGATCATACAGTTTTTTAAAGAGCTATAGGTGAAATTGTTTGGCCATTTGAGAAGAATGCCCTGGTAGCAACTGCCACAGACAACCATTAAAGAAATACAGAGCAATGGGAAGACCACACAGAATAAGGAATGACGGCATCAAGATCAGCCATTGAGAAATGAAAACCAAATTACACAACCTTAGATCTCTTCAAACATTTCGATGAAATAACTAGAGAAAGTAAAGAAGAAGACATTCAATGAACTTCATAATTTTTTATAAGTGCATCAGTTTCCTCTCACTATCGTCATTGCTATAATTTCATGGGTATATTTGTATTTCAGCACAGAATGAATAAATGTTATTTGTTCTGTACATTCACTTCTTTTCTGATCTAGAATGAAGCTCCTTCAAGTCTACTTAATAAGATGACACCCAGAAATTTTGTAATCCTCTGAAAAATAAAGTTTGTTTGTTCCGCTTGTTTGATTCCTAATTTATGTTTTTAACCAAAAAAAAAACAACACAAAAAAACAAATATCTGTAGCTGAGAAAAAACACTTATGTATCTGTTTGCCTAAAGACAGTTTTGACTTACTGTTTGTCACTTCCGGGCTTCTACCTAAAGGTCTTACATACCTGTTGACAGCTTTGCCAATCCAGATAGGTACCTTAGAATGTTGAATTAAGAATCAATTTCACAGAACTCTGGGCATGCCCATAAACGTTCCGCCCCCATTTTCAGCATCAAGCTCACAGTTTCAATTCTGAGTGTAGCAGCCTGACTGTAGATCTGTTTCATCTTCCACTGACTGTTGAGCATCGGCCTGATCCCCGGGCAACTCTTTACAGGACCATTCTCTTCAGACCGTAATGATGTATCTGTGCCTCCTCACTGTCACTCGTTTCCAAAGGGCCCTTACAAAATCTAGCTTGTCATGCATCAAATCACCACCAAATGGCCCAGAACCAGCCAGTCTATCTGCTTCTTCATTTCCAAACATCCCCGTGTGGGTTCCAGGGCCCCATCGTGGGGAAAACAAGAATATACCCTCTGTCTACCCAAAAGCATGTCGTAAGAGTCGACTATTTGGGGAGCTTCCTTTGAAGTCAGAGTGCATCTGCCTGAGAGGCAAGGAACCAACAGTCTGCATTAAAGTAAATTAGATCTGTAAAACTGATGCAACGCAACACTCAGGTTCTGGAGCAGGACTGCAGTTCAGAAATGGACGAACAACCAGAACTTTCCACCAGAGTGTACAGCTGGTGAACGCGAAGAAGAAGATTTTAAAACACACCAGCATGATTCTGAGAATATACAGAGCACCGAACATGTATTGCAGACACGCTCTCTACATGCAGACGGAGTTCCCCGACCTGGCCAGCAGGCAGTCAGGTATAAACCCCGCTGTATGGGTCAATGGAGAACATGCATCAAACCACAACCTTCAAAGAGACCTGTGGCCTTCTCATCTGACAACCAGTGACAGGGAGAATGAAGAGAAGAAAAAACAAACAAAAAACACAAGAAGACACACTTGTGACTAAAACAGACACATCTTAGATGACACACCCAGAGAGCAAATTGCCAATATCCTGTTCAACCCCCTGAAAAAGAATACCCATAATGGCTGCACCAAGTATAACCCAGTTGTATCCTGCTCTTCTGAACAATTAAGTGAGGATACAGGTATTTTTAAAGAAATGATGTGCCTGCTTCACAATAAAGGTTGGCTACAGTATACCACTTGTCTTCAAAACATTAAGTGTTGAGGCCCAAAGCTCTCCCACAGTGTGACTCTTGTACCACTGGGAAAACCACAAGAACAACATTAAAAAAAAAATTAACAGCAGGAAACGAACCCTATTATTCAAGCATCATCAAACTGTTAAACTGCATTCACAATCAGGAGATGTGACCGACACTTGAGACTGAGGGGAAAAGCGAGACGGATATACAATCAGACAGTTACTGGTACCATCAGAAACAGAACTATTCACTTGCTGCTGAAGACGTGGATGGAGTGCTTATGGGGGTGTCCCAAATGCTATGATCAGATTCTTCAACACTGAACTAATCATTAGGCCATGGAACTGCAACCAATATTTAAAGTAAAGTAAATTCTGATGTGTATATACATACATACATACATTAAGTGAGATTACAATCTGACATCTAGGTCTGTGAACTGAATAAGCACATCAGAGTAAATAACATTTCCTTTGTGTAACCATAACAACAAACATTACAGTCAGATGAGTTGTCAATTTAATAAAAAAAAAATGTATACACTATACAGATCCACAAACTTGATAAAAATATTTACAAAGATTTAGCAAAAAAAAAACTTTATACCTTGCCACTGATGAGCAATATATAATGAAACATTACTCAGACTGCTTCAGAAGTATACAATCAGTAACAAATACTTGTCATTTTATGTGCTAAGTATAATTTTCCTAGGCACCTTTAAAAGTCACGTGACCCAAGAACTACACTGATCATTTTTAAAATTTCCCCCAGACTATTGTCTCCAAAGAAAAGTGCACTAACAAATATAACGCCAGTGATGAAGGTAGATAACGAAAAGCTGTTTAAATAGATAATCTAAATAAATAATCAATGTTAAATGAACAGTCAAACTATAACGTTAAACATTTCCCATTTTTATAATTAGGTTCTTAGACCAGAGTTAAAATGTGATTTCTATTCTACAGTCCCATGCCACAGGAAGTCCAATAAAGAAGGTAGGAAACAAAAAGTTATGAGGTTAAAATGTTTTAATAAATAATCGATGTCAAATAAACAGTCAAACAATAACATTAAAATTTTTCATGTTATAATTAAGCTCCAGCACCAGAGTCAAAACGTGACTTCTCCGCTTTAGTGCTATAATGTTGTGTGTCACTGTGTCCCCAAGTTATTGCTGACTGAGTTGAGTTAAGAAATGACATCACAGCACTCAGGGCATTTCCATATGTGCTCCATCCCCATTCTCAGCAGCCAGCGCAGAGTTCCCATACTAATGGTGCCAGTCGAAGACTGGTTGTATGTCCGTCTTGCCTTTCCTCTGAGCGTAGTATGCCGGTCGAACCCTCTGGTCACACCCAAGTGCATAATTCTCTCCAGTCCAGAATAATCTAGTTTCTTTTCTGACTTCATTACTTGTTCCCAAAGGGCTCTGACCACATCTGTTGTGCATCAATTCACCACCCAGCGGTACAGACTCAGCCAATCTGTCTGCCTGTTCATTCCCCGCCGGAATCCAAAAGATCCAAAGTATGCTCATTACTGGTGACCTTGATAGTGAAGCTTGCCACTCTGCTTGAAGCAATCCTTCTTCACCTTTAACGGCAGTAATTGCTGACTGTTTGATCAGATCTTTCTATTTCTGACGATAAAGACTGGGAAAGGGGCTGGGCACCTCCAAATGTAATGGCTGCAGTTGATTTTTGCATCAACTGCCACCTTTGGGGATATATGGTAAGGCCTCAATCTTTTAGACAGTGTAATTCTTGTATCAATAAAACAAAGAAATGATCTTAACTCTTTTGCCCTCGCCCCAATGACACACACAATTTGGTCATTACTATATTAGAATCTTAAAAAAATTAAAACATTTTTCAATGAGGTCACTAATAAGATCATAAAAAATTACTTATCACCATTTAAAAATTACTTTTTGAAAAATATACAGATATATGAAAGCAGCAAACAATAAACACAAACAGAGAGAAGCATTAAATGGAATACATACACTGGGGACTAAAACACACATGTATCAAGTAACTCATACTGTGACCCTGTGACCTCTATCAATAAGGCTTAAAAAAATCTGATGTAAACTTGGCTTTAAAAAAGCCATTGTGCTCAAAGGTTGCCCCCATCCCCCTCTACTATTAGTTAATATATTAATATCTTGAACTCCTAAATGTTTATGAAGGTGCTACCTCGACCAACAGAATTAACTGCGTCTCGTAAACAGGTCACGAGAAAAACTTCAGAAAATCAACACTTCCAGCAAACTGGATCCAACCGGAAATGTTGGTTTTCAGGACAAAAGGATTAAAATATGTCTGCCTTTTTAGAAAACATGAATAAAAGGAAATAACACATCAAGACTGTATTGTTCCCTGACCCTATGATTATTATACAATAATAATTACTTTATTTATCAAAGTCTACAAGTGAGAACAGTGATCCCAATCTCCATGACAAGCCAGCAATCAGTTCAACTTTGAGCCTGAAAACTATTTTTTTTTTTTTCACAATGCTGATATGTATACGGATTTCAGACACAAACAAAAAACTAGACACAATCATTAGCTTTCAACTGGCACTTCAGTTCACATTAGATAGCTTTCATTTGGCACTTCAGCTCACATAAGACTTTAGCTCAGTTCTGAGAGAAAATTTAGATTAAATGGTGTATTTAGAAATCAAATATGTACTTCTGGTTGTCCACTTTCAGTGCTGTATTCAGGATTATTTATTTCAAAATCTGCCTGCCCCCTCTTAGGATTTGTGAAATACTTGTAGGCCCAAGGGACATGTCGCAGGTAGCCTGTGAAATATAAAACAAACCCACTGAATTAGCAAACAGCAAAGAAGTCATTACCTGTGAAGAAATATATCAAAACCAAATTACATTGCAACAAGCACAGATTACTGCTATTAGTGCACACATTTTGAGACACCATGTTCACACATGAAACCACAGTTTAAACAAAACAAAAGCAGAAAGAACTTCCCTAAATGAATGTGACCCACTGTTTAAAAAAAAAAACAATTTATTCTGTGTCAGTGAGTATGTTCTTGAATCCTTTATGTTTACCCAGACAACTGTTTGAATGCTGTGTGATACGTTATATGTGATGTGTGTGTGTGCTATGCTTGGCAACTGTCACATATTAAATATGTGTGACATCTGAAAAGTGGCAAAAATGACTTTATGTACAAATAAGATGGAATATCCAAGCAGCGAGGGAACAAAAAAATCAGCTATGAACAGGGTCAAGTCAGCTAGGGCTTCTGCTAGTTCAGTGACCATGGAAGGGTGTTACGGCAGACACAAGTTAATAAACAACCCTGGGTTAGCTGTCAGCTGTGCGGAGCAGAATTAAGCAAAGGTCAAAGAGATGATAGCTAGGAATGACAAGTATGAATTTAGGAAATTGTTATGTAACATTAAATGACAACAAGGAAGTTACTCACGTAATGAACTAAATTTAGTAAAGTTAAACAATTAGCATTGCAGTTGGTTGTGTATCCTTTACAGGACGTTGCAGAACCAACCCCAACAGCCCCTGGCTGTTGTGTGGTTTTTCTAGGCAAATTTATGTCCAGTAGTTTGCCATTGCTTTCTGGACGGTCGACTTTCTTGATACCTCTGTCGAAACCAACACAAGGAGCATGGCCCGCCTCTGGATCAAACCCAGCATCCCGGCATTACGAAGCGTTCGCATCGACTTAGCCACAGAGCCGACTTAACCTTGCAGAGCAAATCAAAATTTAAAAAAAAAGTTCCTTGCGGGGGTTCTAAAGCCCCATTGTGGAGAAAAATAACAACAAATCCGCTGCCTCTCTAACAGGCTCACCAAAAGAGTCAAAAAGAGTGCTCCTGTCTGACAGGCTAGTGACCCACAGTATCGACTAAATAAGTCCAGATGCAGAAGAAGCAGCAGAACTGAAGTTTACAGCTCGTCAGCATGAAGAAGGAGAAGAGGAAATTAAACACAAAAACACACACAAAAGAAAACTGAGTTAAGAACTTTACCGAGGTAAATTCAAATACCAGTCTATAGATCACGATGCTGTTGTTGTACTGTTGTACTTCAAACAGAGCTCACAGTCTAGTCTCCCATTCCGTTCTGTCCTGTACAATCCTTCTGATATATCTTGGATGGAATCCAGAACAGCACCTTGGGCTTCTCTAATCAACGTTAATCTTTTGGACATCCTCATTTCCTCAATCCACTTGTTTCCCATTTCACTGCCTGCTCGGTGATTCTCTGTTCGCTTCCCGCATGATTAACCCAATATATTGCAATCATCTTTCTTTCTTAACAATGTTGATAGAAGTGGCTACCCAAACATTTCTCTTATTTCTTCTTCACCGTTCTAGAATTCATACCATTTATTGTTCATCACTTTCCTTAGCCATCTGCTTTCAAATACATTCAACTTCTCATATATTAAATATGTCAGAAAAATTATTGAGGAAGCACTTTAAAGTTAATGCACCTCCTGAGAGGTGTCGTTTGTTTACTATCTCAGCATGTCTGACTTGGTGCCTCAATTGTCAAAACAAGATCCACATGTAGATACACACAGCAATGTGGTTGACGATTATTTGGACGCTATGTGATCCAGGCAGAAACTGACTATTTATAGAACAATGGAATATCCAGCTTTTTTGTTAACCAGCCTACCCTTCTACCACATTAGGCGGATATTGCAGTCTACTGTATATATATGTATAAACAACTATGTGCAGACATACACACACACACATTTCACCTTTTTTAATTCCCCATTTTAAAATAAAAACTGATGCGATAGTGAGCAAAATGGCTAGACACACTGGGATGCCTATGGCCAAACCATACCGCAATCTGGTCTCATCATTGCTTCGACCACGGATTGCTGAGAAAGAAATTAATAACAGAACTGAACATTATTACAAAAAAAAAAAAAAAAAACCACACAGATGTCGTGACATGTGTTTTGTGCAAAAAAAAAAAAAATACTGCACCAAAATATTATTCTATGTTGTATGATGAACTAACAATGCAACTGTACTAAAGACACGTCTTAGAGACGAAAGCTGTTGGTCAATTGTACTTAGGACACGTCTTGGAGACGAAAGCTGTTGGTCAATTGTACTTAGGACACATCTTGGAGATGAAAGCTGTTGGTCAGTTGTACTTAGGATGTCTTGGAAACGAAAGCTGTTGGTCAATTGTACTTAGGACGTCTTGGAGATGAAAGCTGTTGGTCAGTTGTACTTCGGACACGTCTTGGAGACGAAAGCTGTTGGTCAATTGTACTTAGGACACGTCTTGGAGACGAAAGCTGTTGGTCAATTGTACTTCGGACACGTCTTGGAGATGAAAGCTGTTGGTCAGTTGTACTTCGGACACGTCTTGGAGACGAAAGCTGTTGGTCAATTGTACTTAGGACACGTCTTGGAGATGAAAGCTGTTGGTCAGTTGTACTTCGGACACGTCTTGGAGACGAAAGCTGTTGGTCAATTGTACTTAGGACATGTCTTGGAACTGAAAGCTGTTGGTCAATTGTACTTAGGATACGTCTTATAGACAAAAGCTTGGTCAATTGTACTTAGGACACGTCTTATAGACAAAAGCTGTTGGTCAATTTTACTTAGGACACGTCTTATAGACAAAAGCTATTGGTCAATTGTACTTAGGACAAGTCTTAGAGACGAAAAGTGTTGGTGGATTGCTCCTTTTACAAGAAATATAGCTCATTTTGTTCTAACATGCATTTATTGTGACCAGTTCCATACTGTTTCCAACTCCAACAACTGCAGCTGAAAATGTTCAAGAATGTGATAAGTACCACACTGTTATAATGGTGAATATCTTAAATAAATAACTTATGGCTGTTAGTTTGATTTAGATTTCAATGGCACTGTTCACTGTGCAAGGGTTTCAGTAAAAAACACTGATTCTCTATAACAAGATTCATTATCTTTTTGCTCTGCATGTGACATCAGCCATTCTAAATATATAATCGCATCTGGGTCACAAACAGGATTTTTAATGCAGCTCCACTAGGCCTTATCCGCAACCAAGCTGGGAGTAGTTAGGGCAGTACTGCAGTATGTGCTCAGGCGTCTCTCTTTCTGCTCCACAATCACAGGCAGCAGAGTCTTGTCTGCACAGGTGTGCTATAAGACCACAGTATCCTGTGGTCTGCTCTTTCCTGTTGAGTTTATGCTGTCAGTCTGTGGTCTGTAGTCTCCATTCTGCCTTCTCCGCACCCATTTGAAATATTGTTTTAGGGTTGTTTTGGTTTCCCTGTAACTCTGTGATGCATAAGGTTGTGGAAGATTACTCCCAGTTTTTGTCAACTCGTCTGCTCTATCATTTTCTTGAATACCACAATGGGCTGGTATCTACTGTTTCCTTGGAAAGCTAGCCAATGCTGGTCTTATCTGCAATTAGTTTGTCTTGTTTTGTGCAGAATAAAGGTCCATCTTAAATTTTTTAGCAGCCCTAAAACAATGTCCATTCAAGAAAAAATTATTATTGTAATATAAATTTTGAAGTTGTTAATAACAGGGCTAGTAAGTTACAAATAAAAGGAAAATTAAAAAAAAAAGACATAATGATTAATGTGCATGCACCCCCTGAAGAAGATTTCTATGATCTCCTTGAGAATATCATAGTAGAAACTTAAAGGGACACACTGATTGTCTTAGGAGATTTCAATGCAAAAAGAGGAATAGACAAGCCCTATAAAAATGTAGCAAGCATAGAAAGCTTACACACAAATTCAAACAATAATGGGAGGAGATTAATCAACCTCACAGTAGCCAAAGGACAACATGTAAGCAGTACAAAATTTCAATGAAAAGGCAATCATGTGACAAGATAACATATAATCAAATAGACCACATTTTAATAAATAACAGAAATGCATAAAACATTCAAGTTAAAAACTACAGAGGAGCTGAGTGCCATAGTGACCACTACCTGGTTGGTGCAAAATAAAAAATATAGCTTAAGAGATCCTTCTACACCAAGTTGCAAAGATCAAACCCAGAATATATTAGAGAAAAATTACACAAAATGTCCTTAAAAAAGAAAAGTGCAGATGAATTAAAACGTGAAACTGAAATTAAAAAAAAATCTGTTAGGGGAAAGACATTGACAAAACGTGGATGAATATTAGGCATATGATTCAAACCAATGCAGAAGAATGTCTTGTTGCGTCCACCATCAACAGAAAAACAAATGGTTCAACAAAAAATGTGAAGAAACAGTCAGTAAGAAAAAAAAACACATGCCTAGTAGATGTGGCTAAAGGATACTGGTAACACATGAAATAAAGAAAAATACAGAACAGAATGTAAACCTGCTATAAAAGTAGTTAGGCAGCAAAAGCGAGAATACATGAACAATATTGTCATGGATATGGAAGCTAACCATCAGAACAACGATTCCAGAAAGACTTTCATAGAACTAAAGGCTATAAAGTGACAGCAACAACACAAAATTTATAGTTTAAAACATCACAATGGGAACATGATAAATAATAATAAGGAAAAATGTAACAGATGGAAGGAATACTTTGCTGAATTGTTAAAACTCCACTAAATACTTATCCACAGGAAGAGATACTTACATGTGAACCAAATATTGAACAGCCTGATTTTAAAGAAGTATTGAACGTCATAAAACGGCTTAAAAACAAAGCAAGTGGTGTTGATGGATTTGTTGCTGAACTTATAAAAGAACTTGGTCATGCTTTACATTTATAAATATATGAATTAATAAAACTAGTTTGGAAGACGGAGAAATTAACCCATGAATGGCAAAAGCCGCTATTAATACCCATTCTAAAGAAAGGAGACAAGTATAAATGTGGAAAATCAAACAGGAATATGACTAGTATCTACAAGCTATTAGAAATATAGGCAGTACAACTAAACAGGCTGAAACCATATATCGAAGACATATTGGGAGATTACCAAGCAGGTTTCCGAAAGGACAGATCAATAATAGATGAGATATTCATTTTATGGCAAATAGCGAAGCAACATTTGGAATTTAGAAGACTTTGTAAAACATAATGTTTTTGTGGATTTTTTAAAGACATATAATAGTGCATGGAATGCTAAGAAGGACTCTGGAATACCAAAGAAGTTAACTGCCATGACCAAACTTTGTATGGAAGACACTTTTAATGAAGTAATATATATAGGCAGAAAGTCAGACCCTTTTCAGATTACATCTGGTTTAAAGCAGGGTGATGTTCTATCCCCACTTCTTTTCAACTTGGCCCTGGAGATAATTATAAGGAAATTGAAACAAGAGAGTGTACTATAGGAGAAACTACAAGAATACTTGGTTATGCAGATGACATTGATATCGTTGAAGGAAATGAACTGGATGCAAACACCTGGAATAAAGAGTGAGAAGCAACAACAAAATTCATGAGCTGTTTAAATCACCATTGATCACTAGCATCATGAGAGCTAATATACTGAAATTTCAGGATCATATTGTCACAAAAGAATTTCAGGATCATATTGTCACAAAAGAATTTCAGGATCATATTGTCACAAAAGAATTTCAGGATCATATTGTCACAAAAGAATTTCAGACAGAGAGGTTAAAAACTTACACAAGGGAACTGAATAGTCGTAGACCATGAGGCAGACCAAGAAGATGATGGAGAGATTGTATCCAAACAGATCTAACACACTTAGTGTCACCAGCTGGAAAGAGAAGGCTAAAGAGAGAGAGATGAATGGTGGCAGGTGATATCTACAGCAGTAAACCTTAAGGGATCAAGCTGAAAAAGAAAAAGAATAGAAAGAAGAAGAAAATAATGTCATAAATTATATGTCCAATGCAGAGAACAACTCAGTCTCCTAAGAAATAGACATCCTACTTTAAGTTCTAAAAATATTTTAATTACATTTTTTTAGGACCCCATTTGGGGGTTGTGTGTGTCTGTTGGGGAGCGGGGTGCAGATATCTCAACATGCATGTGACTCTGTAAAGGAGTGAATCAGAACAAACAAACAGTTTTAGTCAAAATAAATAGATCAGTAATTTTCAACTCATTTCCCAACACAAAATAAATAAATAAACAGCTTTACCGTTCGGTGACAAACTGATGGTTCCAATATTTTCCCGCTGGCATGAGCTGATGTTGCCAACAAAGCTATAAGTAGTCTTGGTCTTCTGGAAAACTCCCACAAAACTCAGATCCGTGTAACTACTCTCATGGACAGTTGAATGCCACACAGATGACTCGTTGAATGTCACAGTGACATTGTCATCAGATGACACTAGGAAAGAAAACCATATTACAGTTATCTATATGTGATCAGTGAGGGCCAGGCGTGTTTAGCGGATATGCCGAGAACAAGAACTGTGCTTGCCAATATAATCGAGTTACTGTGTGGCCGAAGAGTTTAATGAAATATATAGCAAATGTCAGACTTTTTTTAGGAGTAAATGAGATGTACTTTAAAGAGAGCACAGCATAAAACTTTGAAAGATTTTATGTTTACAAACATTCAATAACAATAATCTGTTGGAAGTGAATGTTGAATTAAGAATCGACATCAATGCACTCAAAGTGCTCGGTCCCCATCTTCAGCAGCAATCTAAGAGTTCCAGTTCCAATAGCATCAGTAACTGTCTAATTGTATGTCTCACCCTTCCCTTGAGTGTTGAGCATCGGCCAGATCCGCCGGTATCGCCTCACAGCGCCATTCTCCTCAGACAGTAATGATCTATATGCGTTTCTGCACTGTTCACTCACTCCCAGAGGGCCCTCACAATGTCTAGCTTGTCATACATCAATTCACCATTAAATGGTGCAGAAGGAGCCAGTCTATCTGCCTGCTCATTTCCCAACACACCGGTATGACCGGTATGAGAATATCCAAAGGATGCTAACTACCTGGGACTTCTGAAGTGAATCTTGTTGGAAGTATAGGTGTGAAGCATACATATACAATAACCTATTCTGAAATGTTAGTCATCACTGTATAAATGAAATTATTGTCGTACTGAAGTTCTGTATTATAATAAACAAACTTAATTTCATTTGATTTGTTGAAACACTTGCCATGATATTATAACACAGTATACATACTAAGACTATCTTATCACCTGGTTCCGTTGAGGCAAGCTTGAATGAGCTCTGGGGGCCGTGGAAGAGTAGATAGTGTAACACTTAGCCTCTATATAAAACACAAGTTCCCTTACCCTTTATTTAACAATCAAGCTTCATTACCCTCTGTATAACACACAAGTTCCCTTACCCTCTATATAACACAAAAGTTTGCTTACCCTATACATAACACTCAAGTTTCCTTAACCTCAACACATTCCCTCACCCTAAATATAACACACAAATTCTCTTACCCTCAATATAACACACAAGTTCCCTCACCCTCAATATAACACACAAGTTCCCTCACCCTCAATATAACACACAAGTTTCCTTACCCTCAAAATAACACACAATTTCTTACCCTCAGTTTAACACACACTTCCTTACCCTCAATATAACTCACAAGTTCCCTTACCCTCTATATAACACACAAGTTCCCTTACCCTCTATATAACACATAAGCTCCCTCACCCTCTATATAACACAAAAGTGTCCGTATCCTCTACATAACATACAAGCTCACTTACCCTCTATATAACACACAAGTTCCCTTACCCTTCATGTCCATAATAATGTGCTCTGCTATGAAACTCACAGAAGTATGAGAGTGAACTGTGAGTGAGCACGGGTCATTAATCTCCTCGAGGCGGTACATACCCTCCCACTGTACATTGCGAGCCAGCAGAGTCATCCAAAGTGGGTTAGAATCTAAATGATGATTGTTTGGGAATGAAAGAACATGTAAACATGTATTTATAACTGGTCTGTCATGTCAACTACTAAAAAGAAACAGTGCTAGTGTGCTCTTGTTTAACATCAGTGTGAAAAATATTTATTTTCTGTGTGAATAACAGAGAGAGAAAACGAACAAACAAACTTTATTTTCAAAGAGTTACAAATTAGGCACACAGGCCCGTCCTACATTTGGCCTTTCTAAGCACTCACTCATCTTTCAGAGCACCCCTGCATGTTATGTTTATAAAAAAAATACACATTATGTAATAATGTATACACACATCACGTATACACAATCATATGCACTCAAACACACAGATGTACACATATTCTTACATGCTCATACATACACATACACACTCATTCACAGACATACATAATACATACATACACACACACACATACATACGCACATGTGCATACATACACATACACACACGCGCGCATGCATACATACATACAATCACACATACGTGCATATACATACACACACACATACATAAACCCACATACAATCACACATACATACATACATATCCATACATGCATACACACCCACCCACATGCTTACACACCTACATGTACATACACACATACATACACACACATATACATATATACACACATACATACTGTCGTGGAACAGGTTCCTTTTACACTCACTAAAGTGGTGTTATCTTGTTAGGAACCGAGACAACTGTCTTTTGGTGCAAAGAGCAGACAGTGTCCCTGGATACTCAGATACAGACTCGAATTGGCTCGCGAAAGAAGGTGAGCTGCCTGAATATCCCCAGAAAAGGGATAAGGGAATTTAGATGCCTAAACACTTAGACAGAGCAGGTTACCCCTCCCGACAATTTCCCTTTCTGGTAATAAAATTAAGCCCCCATCTAGACTATGTATATTGGTAGACAACACTGACACCATACATACATCTAGAAATAGAAATAAACTTTAACTATGAGTTTAAATCAATCATAGGAACGTTTATTAAAATTAAAGTAAAATTCAATCATCTATTTACTTTTGAAAATACATTATTCAAACTAAGTAGGATGAAAGATAAAAATGATAGTAACATGAAACTGTCGTCATGAGAGGATCAGTGGGAAATAACATACAACAATTACCACCTGGAGTTTCCCAGAGGATCATCCATTTCAAAGACTGAGGTGGAATGTTGATCTGTCCCAAGCACCAAGATCTTCCTTAGGGCACTCCAATCATTAGCTACAACCAGCCTGGCAGTGGTTTGGAAGCTCGTCCTGCCACAAGGAATCTGTCCTCGGCTTTTCAGCAGCTAGGGATGGAAACAATCAAAAAATATATAGTCCCTGCTGTTTTGCAAAATAAAATATATTTCCAACTTTCCCCTCTCTCTTCATATTGTCAGAAGTGGGATAATGGTCTAGTAGCCTTGTCATTTACATAGCTTCCACTTCTGACTACTGTCCAGTCCAGATGAATGTCTTCCATCTTCTGTCCTTCAGGATGATAGTGTAATACCACTCATTTACACAGACTCAGACAGCAATATGCAGTTGTAAATGCAACACAAAATCAGACAGAATGTTATAGAATTCTCTCTATAAATGTTGAGAATTCTAGATAAAAGGTCTTGCCTTTCCTGTCTTCCAGATATTCCACTGGGTGTTTTCTTGGACAGCATGTCCTCAAAATCACAGCATTTAATACTGCTGTGTATAAGTAAAATGATACATTAATAACATCATGAATAATACATCAATAACCTGAAAACAAAATTCAGCACTTCTACAACAAGCAAACATTATGAATTATAGAAGTATGAGCATGAGAAGAACAATGTGTCTCCTATGAAATGTTACCATTGAAATGTTACCATTATCTACACAGACTCTAATAACCAGCCATAGATCATTCATCTACCAGCAATAGAAGATAGATAATTTCCTAAGAGTCTTAGATACAGCAAACAGAAGTAACCTCCTAGATACCGAACAATAGGAATCAGGAATAGATCATAAAGAAATGGTTTCCTGTCCATGTGCAGAAATGGGTCAGCGTGGTTTTTCCTCTGTCTGGTACAATTCTAATATTGTACACGAAATGCGGCCCGAAAACTGAAATCACGATTTAATTAACAGTTACTGTGCTCACCTGGATTTAGATGTAACTATATGGTCATGTTGCTAGGGTTTTTAGGCGGCGAGAAAGACAAAGTTCTGCCAAAACGGCCCGCTCTAACACCTGCTTGCTGACCTGAAGTAAAATGGCTGGCAATCTTGTCTCACTGCGGGATCCGGTGTTTGGCCAGGATTTTTCCGCTACGTTGCCGAGTTACTAGCCGTATATTTTTATACGTGAAAGCTCAGGGGAATTACAAATAAGACAATGGAAAATCCCCAAACAGCAACCGTAGGCTATAACCGGGATATCTCTCAATGCGTCTTATGACGAAAATGAAGTCACTGGGCGCATGTAAGAGGGAAAAATAGAAGGGTCACAAAGGGGTGGTACGTCAGCCAAGTATCTTGTCTACTTTAAGCGGCGTCTCGCGACAGAAGCCCCCCTTTCGAAGCTTTCTGTAAGAACGCTAAGATCGCTGTCAAGTAGAACAAGAATACCAGACTACCACTTCCTGGCTCCCAAGACTTCCACTGGTCTGAATTTCCAGTAGTCTTTATGACAATGTCTTGTCCAGTAGATGTGCTTAAAATGCATGCACCAGTGGTGTACTGACCGTTTGTCCGGAGGTATTGCATCCCCCAGAATCAATGATTTCGTGGGTCTGGATGCTGAGATACCAAGGCCAACCTGATAACAACTCTTAACCCACAATGTACCTAGATTCTGCCCTATCAAAAGCGGTAGAGCTTGTAGGGACTGCTTGTATGGAAGAGTCACAGTGCAACTATCTTCCGCTATTCTCCTCCACCCATTATCAATCTTGGTACAATCTGTCACTTTCCTTTTGGTATAAGGGATGGCGTCCATCAAGGTACCATGAGGTTGGCGCAGTTTACCACTGACTCTTTCTTGGTAGGGGGTCAACTTGTCCCCTCCTGTGTGCATTCTGTCCTCCCCTTCATAATTGATCGGGGTGAGTTTCTCATGAATAGAGCTCCTTTCGGAATCAGAGCACAAAAGTAGTTCAGTAAATACAGTCACATCAGTCAGAAGTGGTTCGTTTTCTGAAGATGCTAAGGTGGTATTGCTTCGGACCGAAGCTTCTACCGGCAGCTGAGTTACTCCTGTCGCATCTTTCGAAGTGAAGAGTACTCTTAGACCAGAGTATTTGGTTTCCCTTTTACTCTTGGCTTGTTCAGCCACAATGTCCTTCATCTGAAGTTCCCCTGTGGTGTCAGCTGCACAGGCAAGAGATAGGCTCTCTCCCTGCCCAAAAGAAGTACATTCTTTTGTGTTGATGGCAAACAGTGCTGTTTGACCATTTTCAAAGTTAATAAGGCTTACAGGAATTTCCTGCTCATCAAGAGTTTCCTTCCCAGAATACTCTGCAAAGACCTCAGGGAAAGTATCCTCTGTGTCGGTTATTTCCTCCCTGGTCAAGCTTTTATGGGCCAAGTCCAGAGGGAGTAAATAAAGTTGAGTGCTGCTGCCATCACAGTCACCCATCTGGGATGCCAAATCAGAACTGATACTCATCTCCCTATTGCATGTGGCTGCATCAAGGGAAATGAAAAAAAACAGATTTACTGTTATTCTCTGTACTATGCTGCCATGATTCCACTTCTTGTTTAACATTACCGAAGGGCATCAAAGAGTCACTGAAGGTGCTACCTTCCCTTTCATTATTGGCTAGTGTCCCAGTCAAACCGCCATGTTTACGGTTCCAGCAGTTATCACGTTGGTGGCTGCTGTTCGATGTGTTCGGGGTCCTCTTAGTCCTACACTTCCCTTTCGGAACATGCCGATTCCCTTCTTTCACTAAGGAACATAAGAAGTTAAATGAATCGGATGTGGTGTTTGAGGTTCGTCTGTCACTGGTATGACGATTACGGGTGCCCACGGTACAATTTCTCCTTCCATGATTCCATTTAGGCTCAGGAGGAGTCTCCTCACTTTGCTCATCTGAGTTAAGGGGAGTAAAGGGGTTCAGCAATGTGGATCTGATCCCTTTTGAAGATTTCTTTGTTTTCTGTCCTCGCTTCCTTGTGGGGACAGGAGGCTTCTCATTTTGCTTATCAGGGCAATGGAGAATACAGGGGTTCAGCAATGTAGATCTGATTCCTGTCAAAGAATTCTTGATGTCCACTCTTTTCCTATATGGAATAAGAGAGGTGAGGCAAGGTCTTGGGTGGTCTATTACTTCATCATTTGATGAGGTACCATTTGGCGCAATAGTACACACCTCTCCATTGAGAGAGTGAGTCCCTGACCTTTCTACCAGAGTGTCAGTATGGGAGTTGTCAGTTCCCTCAACTACCTGGATGTTGTTCTCACCGTTCCCTGTGTCTAACTGCAGTTCTCTCTTCTTTGTCTGCCTAAGTAGTCGATAGTTATGCAGCTTTTCTTGAAGAAGCTTCATTCTTTTGACAGCTGCATCCTCTTGGAGTTGTCTAGCATCTTCTTCTTCTTCAAGTTGCCGTATTCTCTCTTCTTCTTCCCTCTCCGCTGCATGACGAGCAAGCATTGAGTCCCATTCTTCCTGTTCGCGTTGTATGAACGTTGTTAACTCTTGTCCTCTATAGCCCCTTTGTGCACCAAAAATCCTTGCATTTTCTAAGAACCTGGACCGGCGGTCCATAATGTCTAGATTGTTCATTTACAAAGCAAGAGAAACTGATCACATGCAGGACTAACCAGAAGAGTATTTATAGTTGAAGGGTTGGGTGATAGAATAGAAAAAAAGAAAACTGACCACAGCAGTAAGGAGAACGTTACTGAAAATAATGCAAGTAATCAAACATTACTGCACAGCAATCAATGACACATTAAATAAACTTAACAGTAATG